GTTAACCGGATGAGAACCTTTCACTCTTCCTGTCAGTAAGGCATGAAGGGGTGTCTGAATTTTCGCTGCGCCAGGGATGAATTTTCGATAAAAATTCAGTATCCCTAAAAATCGACGAAGTTCTCTTACCGTCCTTGGTACTGGATAATCCTGGACGGCTTGCACTTTTGTTTCGAGTGACATTAATACCTCGGCCGACACCTTGTATCATAGAAATATTACCTCCTTTGCCCAAAGACACACTTAAATGTATTTATAACATTTCCGTATTCTTTGAGTCTGTCGAATAGTTGACGAAGATGTTCAATGTGTGATTTTTCATCTTTGCAGAAATCCATACCTCTGGTCAGTTTATCGACGAATCTCTGAAACGTTTGACCTGTACTTCTAAGGCCGTAAGTGGTGAATCGGAACTCGTAGAAGCCAAAAGGTGTTGTATTGCCATCTTTGGTATATCCTTTTCACTAACCGAAATTTGGTCTTTGCTATTGTTGAAAATATCGTACAACCGGTTATGTCATGGGTGAAGTTGTGGATATTTCGGGTAGGGTAGCGGTCTGGGATTGTGCGGGCGTTGCGCATCCAGTAAATCCATTTTCATACGAAAACTTACGACATAATCGCTGGTGCTCCGAAACACTTTCGTGACAAGTCGACTAACGACACTAAACACTGCCCTCTTTTTGCCTAGTTATTTCTGGTGAAGTCTTTCATAGATAACCATTTTTGTCAAGCACAACGTTCATTTATTTCGGCATTTTTCAACTAGATGGAAATATTTACAACGTGTCGTTTTGGATAGTATACTATGCCGGACGGACGACGGAATATTTTGTTTGGCTACTATACTCTCCACGGACGTGCTAGTGGTTAGAAGCGTAAGCGACACGGATTCACTGCGGAAGTCTGCGGTCAACTGAAAAACGGCTGACGACGTACGCGCAAGTTCTTTGTTCTAAATTAATATTACCTGTAGCGTTAGCGGACATTTATATGATACGATTTTTACATCGTTGGCCTTCCGACATATTATCGGCAACTGGTAAGTATTTAAATTTAACATACTTAAATTAACATTGTGCATGTATTATATTACATCTATTTTTGTATACAATTTTTATTTACACATTTTAGTTAATATACTATATGTAGTTATTATTTTATACACAAATTGCTAATTACATAATATTTGTATTTTTATTTATATAATTAATTATGAATATAAAACTGAAACTGTATTTATATTAACAGCTAATATTGAAGTCCACCACAAATTATTAATGGCTTTTAAATTTTGTCAGTTTATAACTTTGACTAGAGAAAAAAGAAAGGACGTGACATAAAGATCGGTAGCTATAGGAATGTAACGAAAAATCGGCGTCTCCCTTTAGCTTATGAGTATATTCGTATGTAAAAAAGGACAACAGTTGTTTTATCATTACCGAAAATGGCAACAATTTTTTCGCTGCGGCCGGGCGCCATTTTTGTCACAGTCAATGACAACTATATCCGTTGTCATTGTGACTTTAGTGAGGGAGTGTGTTATTTTTATGTGTTTCTCTCGTGGAATTCGATTATTACGATATTTCTTATTCTATTCCTCGGAACCTCTAAATCGGGATAAAAAGTATCTTTTATGTTAATTCAGGTAATAAACTATTTGCGTGTCAAATTATTATATTCAAACTGGTCTGATACTTTTGGCGTGATTGAGGAATAAACAAACATTCAAACTTTTGCATTAATTATAATTTAATTAGTGTGAGAATGGCTGAGTCTAATTGAATGTCTAACAAACAAACGAAAATTCTTTACATGATTAAAAAAAATTCTTTAATTAGTATTTCTTGTTTAGTATTTCCCGGAAAATAATTGTAACATTAATTATAGATAGTGACATTATAAAAACAAAAACAAAAATTGAGGGTCGGATATAATGTTTGACATCTTGTTTGTCGTAAATCTTATTGCACTTGAAGGTACTTTACAATTTTTTATACAGAAATACTGTTGAGTGCTGATTTCGTTGTTTTACGTCAGAACTAATTCGAACGGTTATTTCAGTCCGACACAGACTTTTGTAGGGATTTCTCGTTAATAACGTTAAGTTTATTTACTGAGGCTGTAGCTTTGATTACTTTGTCTAAAAATAATGGACACTACTGAAGCTGAGGCGGCCCAAGTTGTGGCTTTGCTGCAACAAGGCTTAAGTCAACGTGTCGTGGCCAAGAGGTCAAATCTGAGCCATTCTGCAGTGCGACGAGTTTACCAAAGGTTTCTGGAGACTGGGCAATATCGAAGAAGATCTGGATCTGGAAGACATAGGTGACAACTCAAAGAGATGACCGATTTATAGTGTTATCAGCTCTACGAAATCGGCACCTATCTGGTGTTGATCTCCAGCGACGCTTACATGAAGATCGAGGTGTAGCTATAAGAGATAGTACTGTGAGAAGGAGACTTCGTGAGCAGAATTTAAGACCTCACAAGCCAGCAACAAGACCATAATTGACCACAGCTCATCGAAAAGCCAGACTTCAATTTGCGCGTAACCACATCAACTGGACTATCGGCCAATGGGAGTCAGTTCTTTTTAGTGATGAGAGTCGAATGACTTTATATGGTTCTGACGGACACCGTAATGTCATACGACGACCAGATGAACATTATACCCAGTATTGCATAAGAAAAACTGTCAGTTATGGTGGAGGCTCTGTAATGTTTTGGGCTGGGATATCTTTGACTGAACGCACTGAGCTGGTTTTCATACGAAGAGGTGCTTTAACTGCAGCACGCTACATCGCAGATATCTTAGAAGACCATGTAGTGCCATATGCCGACTATATTGGAGAGACCTTTGAACTAATGCATGATAATGCACGACCACACGTAGCGCACATCGCAACCGATTACCTTGAAGAGGTCGGCATTCGGGTTATGTCGTGGCCAGCAAGAAGCCCTGATCTTAATCCTATAGAGCACATGTGGTTCACCCTAAAACAAAAGGTTAGAGCCCATAATCCAGTCCCTACAACATTAGGAGACCTTGAAACCGCCATTAGGGAAGAATGGAACCGAATCCCTCAAGAGACCATCAAAATCTTGATAAGGTCATTAAAACGGCAAATGCAGGCTGTCATTCGAGTAAGAGGAGGGAATACGCAATATTAAATTGCAACAAATGTGTACATAAAATTCAATACATAAAAACTAGAGCGTATTGAAAATTAATAAAAATAATCGTGAAAAATTAAAGATTTTGGTTTTTAAATGAAAATTACTTTCAAAAAATCATTTTGATGTAACTGTGATTAAATTGGTGTAAATAAATAAATTAAATAAAACATTTCAGTACTTAAACGTTTTTATTGGTTCTGCTTTAGAAAAACGTGATTTGCGGCAAAAACGCAGGTGGGCCGATTTTTTTGATGGCCAACCTCCATGGTCATGTATTTAGGGTTTGTAAATACAAATGTCTATCGCTGACGCTAACCGACTAAATTGAAAATAGGTTGCAACATACTACAGATTTGGTATGTAACAAAGTTACTATTTTATTCTTGTATCATTAAACTTCACAAATTAATGCTAAATGTGACCATTAATAAAATAAATATATTGTTCAGTAGTTTATTTTATTATAATTGAATTAAATAAAATACCAGATTATTTAAGTAAATTCAAACTACGTGTAATATATTTATTAAAATCATATAAACTTTTAAAAAAATAATCAATACTTAATTTTAATGTAAGTTATAATCTAAAACCCGTAATAAACGTTTAACTAAATAGGCGTCGTAGTAGTTATTCTGCATTTCTTACATGCAGGTTGCAGCAATGAAGCAAGCTGATTCAAGACTTGGCCTAAAAGACTAGATACCAGGCCATAAACTCCAAAAAAAATGAAGCAAGCTGTCAAGTATCGGGTATGTTCCGAAATACAACGCAGTGTACTGTCCAATGCAAATGACGTCATGAATCGACGCTATACTGGTGATTCGTTCCAAAACATTGGACAGTATATGACGTCATACTTTTCCATTTGGAAAAGTGTTGGCGATTATTTTGTCATTTTGTGCTCTAAAAATCATTATATCCTCCTAATGAATATACCATCAATTATTCTATAATTCTTTGTATTTGAATAAATAGAAACAAATTCTGGTATGCTTCATTCGGCAAACACACAATTAAAAATTGTTTTATTATGGCCGGATATATCCGACACAATATGGCGGCGGCACGATAGTACAATAAAGTGTATGTTCCGAAATACAACGCAGTGTACTGTCCAATGCAAATGACGTCATGAATCGACGCTATACTGGTGATTCGTTCCAAAACATTGGACAGTGTATGACGTCATACTTTTGCGCCATTTGGAAAAGTGTTGGCGATTATTTTGTCATTTTGTGCTCCAAAAATCATTATATCCTCCTAATGGATATACCATCAATTATTCTATATTTTTTTGTATTTGAATAAATAGAAACAAATTCTGGCATGCTTCATTCGGCAAACACACAATTAAAAATTGTTTATTATGGCCGGATATCCGACACAATATGGCGGCGGCACGCTAGTACAATAAAGTGTCAAATGATACGTCATTTGCATTGGACAGTACACTGCGTTGTATTTCGGAACATACCCAAAGTGTCAAATGATACGTCATTTGCATTGGACAGTACCAGACAGTACACTGCGTTGTATTTCGGAACATACCCGACAACTCTAACCTTCATGTGTCAAACAATCAATCCGTGTTTTTTTATTACTGCCGGTCGTTTTGTTGATGAATTCAACAATTTACAACCTAGTGCTTCCCCGAATCTCCGTAATTTCTGCTCTTTGGGTTACGTCGAGTGTTTTCATCAACCTAGTACTTTTCCGTAAATTCGTTGAGTCGGGCCCTGCTCCTCCGATTAACGTTAATTGTTTGTACTAGTATTGTTCGACACAAGGACTCCTCTAAAGTGCTCCTGAGTGACTTTACCATGTCTAGTAAACGTCGTTGTGTTCCTGAGTGTGTGGAAATCGAAGGTACGTAACCAGATGGTTATATACCGGACACCAAATCAGTACCTGTATAATGTTAAATTGATAAGACCTGTATAGGTCATGTTTTGGTCTCCTGTGGTAACGAATATTGTCTGTCTATGTAAACTGTCGTACAGAAACATAATAGTACGTTTATAACATAAAATTATGTTTATTGAAAAACGGTTTTAACAGTTTAATTGATGTGGTTCTATGTTATAAGGTCACAAGTTTTTCTTCTGTAAGTATAACATTTAAACTCCTTTTTTTTTTGCGAATACTCATAGAGTTCTTAATTGGTTTCCAAACCCTGAAAAGGACATTGCTCGTTTCCGAACATGGGTTCATGCTATTGGTGGAGAAATTTTGAGTCTGAGTAATGAAAATATTTATAAACTTCGTCGAGTATGTCATGCTCATTTTGAAGAGAAATATTATCTCTGTAACAACAGAATTTCTAACACAGCCGTACCAACATTACTTACACTATGTAGGTGCACTATCTAGCTACAGTTAGCTGTACTATGATATTAAACAGCCCACACATAATTTAAGTACATGTTAATTTAAGTATATATAGAATATGTATTATATAGTAAGTATAGCTATAGTAATGTGTACACAAAATTGGTTTTGACTGATGAAGTCAAAACCAATTTTGATAGCATAAATCTGTCAGAACTATTTTTTATCAATAAAAACAGTTTAGAAATGTTGTACTATCACATGCTGAATTGATTAGGTTGGTATGTTCTTATTGTAACCTGTTTAGAAACTTATTTTGTACTTACATAGTTATTTTAAATGAAGATAACCTCAAATTTTTCAACATAATGAATGCATTTTAATTTAATTATGGTTTTGACTGAAACCACTCCAAAGTTTTGGTAACCAGAAGAGATTTGACTATAACATAATTATACATAATTTGTTTTATTAATAATATAACCATATTAATAACAGCTTAAAAAGGGTTATGTTATTGTCATTTTTAAAGATAATTAAAATTAAATTAAAAAGTGTGTTGTACATTTATACAACACACTTTTGCAATTTACTATTATTTGTATATTAAATGTTTTTTTTACTTGGCATTTTGTTGTGTCGAAAGTTTCATCAGAATTGGCCTGTTCCTTTTCAAGCAATTAGAATTGTAATTTTGAATGGAAGACAATATTTGTTATTCTTAAGATTTGGAGATATCAAATACAATACGATACCTTTTTTGGTGATTGAGTAGAAATAGAAAAAAAAAAACAAGTAAATAAATTTAATTTTCTTGACTTTGCATAAAAGTTACCTATATTTATTACAGACTGAACCTTGAGAAAGTGTAAACCAAACTTTTTTTTGTAAAGAAAACAAAGTTTGTTTAAATTATTAGCAGATAATCTGTTATGCAAATCATTTTAAAAGAGACCTGCAGTTAAAAACAGACACTCTGAGGCAACTCAGCTGAGCCAGAACGTAGCACGCATGTTGTTCGTTTCGCGCGCTTTTCAAACTCTTCATATTGGTTGTATATAATTGGCGATGCAGATATGCCAGTTAGCCGATTATATAGGAATCGGTATTGGAATCGTTACACCTCTAATATAAAGATAAGGCAGATTCATATGTTACTTAGGATTGTGTTTTGATTAATGTGTATATTCTAGTGTCTACTTTGCACTGTGTTTACATTGTGCCACTGTGACGGGAATAACGCTCAGCCATAGTATGTGCCAAGTAATATTTATGTGTTTATAAGACTTCAGTTTGCTTTTCTTATATTTTCACATTTTGTTTTATTATAAGCATGATAGCCTGAGCCGATTATTTTAAATTATTTAGGCAAATTATTGAGCTGATTATTAGATTATTTAAGCAGCATTTAAAGAAAATTTTGTTGTCATACATATCACCTTTGTGTGAAGTAATTATTTCAATATTATGGTCTTCCTGCAAATTGGAATTTATCTTTTATATGTATTTACTGCTGCTACATTGTATAGCAATAGCAACACAAATTCACTTATAACAATTGTTCTATTATTGTTGTTTCAGGACCACTATCTCTAGCAGAATCTCGAAAACCATTAAAAGAAAATAAAAAAATCATTACGATGTTGGTTCATATAATCTAGTCTTTCCCTACTATTATAGTCAACCAAATCTAAGAAATACATTTTGGCATCTGTCAGACTTATTGCACCAGGCATGACAAGCAAAAAATGGGAATGTACAATATTCGATTCTTAAAAAAATCGATATCGATTATTTAGAGATGGTAATCATTCACAGTTTGGTTTGAATAATACCAGAATAACTTAAAAACGGACAATTTAAAACACAAGATTTATCATTTTGTACATATTTGTTGTTACTGCTTATTTCTAGAGGCACAGTTATAAAAATTTTAGATTAAAACTAGATTAAACATAAATTTATTCAATAACTTTTAGTACAACTAGTTGAACTGTCATTGTTTAGATTAATTATTATTTGTTTTTCAATATGCAGCCAAAATTAATGTCTCTTTCAAAGTCATCCATAATATATTTTTATATCACTTTTGCCCAATGATCCTTTGTGACAGGGGCACATGCTTCAACGAATATAGAAACAGAGAAGAAGAAACAGTCCAAAAAGTTAAAGCCGAGTCACAAAATAAGAAGACAAACACAAAATCACAAAATTACGCACAGTAAGCTCCCGAAATGGCGGATATTCAAATAACGTTGTGATTTTTTCAGCGCGGCTTTGTATATGAGTTTTTTTGCCTACACAAATTTATGTTGACAAATTAAAAAAAAAAAACTTGTTTTATTCATGATTCATGTAATTGGAATTTTAAAAATAAAAATTAAATTAAACAAATAATTTCATCATTCAAGAAAATTAATGATTCGATTATTTGATTATTTTTGCCGATTATTAACATAACAATGAATTTTAATCATCCAAACACTACGCTAATGTACATAGCGACATATTGATACGACGTCAAGTAAAAAAAGTTGATACTGGTTATTTTTTAATATTTTGCTATGTTTGAAAAATTCAAATTTAAATTAGTGATAAAAAACTATACACGTTGTAAAGAAATATAGATAACTTCATAATTCTTCGGATTTACGTAAAAGGTTATTTTAAATCGTGTGAGTATGCTTCAAGTTATTGCTGAATGATTAATGTGAAACGTCAAAAGGTATTTCTTAGATTTGGTTGACTATAAATAACGTCATCTTATTATCTTATCAAAAACATAAGGGTATCCTACCTACTCTACCTCTTTATTAACAAATAACCTTAATTATATCCTTTGTATTCCAGTCACTGTTCAACTAGATGCAACTGTTGAGAATCTTGGAATACAAGAATGCACACTACAGGATAAATATGGTAAGTGTCCTTTACTTAAATTTTATATAAAAAATGAAATCTGAAGATAGAGTAAGATCATGTACTCTATCTTTATGTTGAATGCTACAATTTTTAGGAACCGAGCTATAGTGAAACTGCAGGGCACAGTTATACATTCATGATAATACTTTGGGTGACAGTAGGAGTCCGTAAGAGTAGACAAAAGTTATATGAACTTTACAATGAAAGGTCATATAATCCTAGCGTCGAATTTAGGGAATATGTAAAAAAATATTCTAAAATATTTAAAAGAATGTGCTCCATAGCCAAGTCATTGTATTTGAGCAACAAAATAAAGACGACATCTAATAAAATTAAAATGACATGGAGTATAATTAATAGTGAAACTGGTAAGGTTAACTCTCGCAATTCGAACTACCAGTTAAGTTTTAACAATAAATTAACTGAATCAGATCAGGACGTTGCAATGGTTTTCGAGAAATATTTTACTGATATTCCTATCTTAACCACTAAGTCACTGAATTCTTCTCCTGCCGTCGCCGAATCATTACTTAGTGCTAGTGACTAGTTTCAATTTTGAACACTATCAGTAAGCTTTTTGAAAAAATTGTTTGCAGCTTCATCTACCCAATTATAATCCGTGGTATTCCTGATACACAGCATGGCTTCATAAAAGGACGGTCTACGGTATCAAATTTGTCTCTGTTCTCAAGTTATGTCCTCCTGCATATGGAGAATGGTGGTCAGGTGGACGTGGTCTACACTGATTTTGAAAAAGCTTTCGATCGTGTAGACCACGACTTCCTGCTCCACAAGCTCTATTTGCTTGGAATTCAAGAAGACGTACTCCGCTGGGTGTGCTCCTACCTTTCCAATCGCTCTCAAGCTGTAGTGCTGGGCGGATACAGATCCGACTATGTAACTGTTCCCTCGGGTGTCCCTCACACCTTGGCCCGCTATTCTACAATGCGTACATCTTTGACATTGCCAACTGTTTTTCTTATTCTAATCACCTATTATATGCAGATGATAAAAAATATATAGGGCAGTTAATTCTGTTGAAGATTGTAGATTGTTACAATACGATTTGGATAAACTGTTTTCTTATTATCAACAAAACAAGATCTTCGTCAATATTAAAAAATGTCAGAGTACAAGCTTTACGCGCACGAAAAGTCCAATTGTCTTTTCTTATAACTTCAATAATCAAGTATTAACGCGAGTCAATGATTTACGTGATCTCGGCATTTGTTTTGACTCCAAGATGCTCCTCAATATGCATTATGATAATATAGCAGATAGAGCTTACCGTATGCTTGGATTTGTTCTAAGAACCTGTCAACCGTTTAAAGGTACATTTTTTTAGCATTGAAAACGTTATATTTTGCACACGTGAGAAGCATACTGGAGTACGCTAGTCCTATAAGGTCGCCTTCATATGAAGTTTATAAGGCACGCTTAGAGAGTATTCAGAAAAAGTTTTTAAAATCTCTAAATTTCAGGTGCGACGGCACCGCACACACATTTATATCTTATAGTGATAATTGTCGTAATTTTAATCTTCTCACGTTAGCGGAACGCCGTGAGATAGACATGGGTTTTTTGTTCGATATTTTACGCGCTCAACTTGATTGTCCTGCTCTGCTTTCACAAATATCCTTTAAAGTGCCCCGACGTAGGACTAGACATACACCTTTATTCGGTGTTCCCTTACATCATACTAATTATGGCAAGAATTGTGTCCTCACCAGAATGGTTAGAATTTTTAACAGTAAATTTTCTCATATTGACCCATTTATCCATTCAAAAAATTTATTTAAGCGAAAGGTAGCACAGGCTTTGACAGGAGTAACAATTAACCCTTATTGTTTATGTTGGTAACCTCTGTAGTTTTGTAAATCCGTAGTAATATCTCAAGTTATATGTCTTCAATTCGCTAATTGACACAAAAAGAATTTAATATAATGTATGTATGTGAATGTGTAAATGATTTGATGATGATGATGATGATGATTGTATGTATGTATATTTATTTAAATGTTAGTATATGTATGTACTTGCCTATATGTATTTAATTATAATATGGTTATATGTATATGTGTATATGTGTGTGCTTACATGTGTTAATATTATCCCATTGAAGCATAAATAATTTTCTAGGTCAGCCATGACAAACATTTTAAATTAAGTACTGTTTTTGATTAAAGGTTTTGTAATATTCTTTTTTTCAACTTTTCGTACTTCTGATTTGTGCTAAATTGTGAAAAGTGGATGACTATTATTGGCCCTATGTAAAACATATTATATAAGATATATTTTTTTCACAGTGTGAAGGCTGTTGTTATCCCTATCCTGTGTGTTGAAACAGCTAGAATAGTTTACTTTAGTTATTTTCATAGCATTATGTCGTATGGTATTTTGCTATGGGGACACGCGACTGACACTAAAATTATATTTATTTTACAGAAGAGGGCCATTAGAGCAATATATAATTTAGAAGCGGCCCCACAGGAAGTGGACCTGGTCGAGCCCCAACGGTTCGGCAAAGAATGAGATTGACTTCATTATGACGACCAGACGCCAACTGTTCAGTGATGTCTCAGTGATCGCAAGTGTGAAAATCGGCAGCGATCACCGAATGGTTAGAGGCACACAGCACCTAAACGTTAAGTTGGAGAGGTCTCGTCTAATGAAGTCAACGGTCCGTCCCCCTCGTGCTCTAATCCAGAATCCCGATACTTTTCAGCTCGAGTTACGTAACCGCTTTCAGTGCCTAGAAGATTGCAATGAAGTGGACTATATGAATGACAAGCTCGTGGAAACTGTCCATGCGGTTGGAGCAAAGTTCTGCAAGACACGCCGCAGAAGAATACAAAAACTCCGATCACACTCTTAATCTCATGGCTGTTAGACGGGAGATGAGGCTGCAATCGTCAACAGATTTGACAGCATACAGGCAACTGAAGAGACAGATCTCCAAATGCATGCGGCGAGACTTACGCAACTTTAATACTGCTCGTATTAAAAAAGCGATCGAGCGGAACCAGGGCTCCAGTCTTTGCCAGAGATCTGTCTGCCAGAAAGAGCTGAAGACTGCGTGTGGCAGCATCGTTTCCGAGACACCTGAGATTTTGAGTGAGATTGAGAGGTTCTATGGACAGCTGTACACATCATCGTTGGAGCCACACGCAAGTGTGAGTAACGATCCAAGAGCAAGTCTTACCCGACACTATTCCGATGATATCCCGGACGTCAGTGTGAGCGAGATTAGAATGGCTCTCCAGCATCTTAAAAACGGCAGGGCCCCAGGCGAGGATGGAATTACAGCGGAGCTTCTGAAAGCGGGTGAAACACCGGTACTTGAAGTCCTTCAGAAGCTCTTCAGTTCCGTCCTCCATGGTGGCACTACTCCAGAGGCGTGAAGCAGATGTGCGGTGGTCTTGTTCTTTAAGAAAGGCGACAACGCTCTCTTGAAGAACTACAGACCGATTTCCCTACTGAGCCGCGTCTACGTGCTGTTTTCGAGAGTCATTACGAATCGTCTCGCACGCAGACTCGACGACTTCCAGCCTCCCGAACAAGACGGTTTCCGAAAAGGCTTCAGTACCATAGACCACATACATACCCTGCGGCAGATTGTACAGAAGACCGAAGAGTACAATCTGCCACTTTGCCTGGCGTATGTGGACTATGAGAAAGCCTTTGATTCCGTCGAAATTTGGGCGGTGCTACAGTCCCTTCAGCGGTTGACTGTTGGTATATCGAAGTGCTGAAGTGTTTGTACTGTAGGGCTACGATGGCTATCCGAGTACAGAACCAGAGTTCGAAACCTATCCAACTGCAGAGAGGTGTAAGACAGGGTGACGTTATATCCCCGAAACTCTTCACCGCTGCGTTGGAAGACGTTTTCAAGCTACTCGACTGGAAAGGATACGGTATTAAAATCAATGGTGAGTACATCACTCACCTTCGATTTGCCTACGTTATAGTCCTTATGGCAGAATCGCTGGAGGAACTTAGTACTATGCTCAATGACCTCAATGGTGTCTCCCAACGGATAGGTCTTAAGATGAACATGGACAAAACAAAGATCATGTTTAATGTCCATGTCACACCTATGCCGGTAGTTGTTGGGAGCACCATGCTCGAAGTTGTTGACGAGTACGTTTACCTGGGACAAATAGTCCGACTAGGTAAGTCCAACTTCGACCGACAGGTCAATCGACGGATTCAACTTGGTTGGGCAGTGTTCGGGAAATTACGACACATCTTCTCGTCAGGTATACATCAATCTCTGAAAACTAAAGTATACAACCAGTGCGTGTTGCCAGTGATGACTTACGGATCAGAGACATGGTCCTTCACTACTGGCCGTATGAGGACGCTCAAGGTCGCTCAGCGAGCTATGGAGAGGGCTATGCTCGGAGTTTCTCTGCGTGATAGACTCAGAAATGAGGATATCCGCAGTAAAACCAGAGTGACAGACATAGCCCAACGGATTAATAAGCTGAAGTGGCAATGGGCCGGCCATATAGCTCGAAAAACCGATAACCGATGGGGAAGTAAGGTTCTCGAGTGGCAGCCTCGTACCGGTAGGCGTAGTGTAGGGCGACCCCCCACTAGATGGAGTGACGACCTGGTAAGACATGCAGGAAGTCGATGGATGCAGGTGGCTCAGAACCGTGCTTTGTGGCGTTACTTGGGGGAGGCCTATGTTCAGCAGTGGACTTGTGAAGGGCTGTAATGATGATGATGATGATAATTAAAAATCAAAAGAGTCACTGAGACAAAAATTTAAGGAAAATAATATATTAACTCTGGCCTCTCAGTACATTTATTAAAATGTAATGTATTCATTCATTCTGCAAATACTAGGAACAGACAAGCTAGTAGTACCAGTTACTCGACTCCACCGAGTCAGTAATTCATTCTTGGGGCGATGTATACGCTTTTACAATGAAATCCCAGAAAATATACAAAATTTGTCATACGCAAAGTTCAAAAATTTTATTAAAACTAAGATTGTATAAAAAGAATTATTATAATATTAAGGAGTTATGGATGATAACCCCTGGGAAAGGTGATCGCTACCAAGCTATTTCTAATTTGTCTTGTGTTGTTAATTGTAAACATGATTGTAAGCTATTATTTGAAAAAAAAAAATAGTCCCGCTGGGTTTCTTGCTGGTTCTTCCCAGAACAGAGGTTTTTGTTTTGCGAACCAGTGGTAAATGAAAAAATTGACTTTCAATAAGAATTGTTTGTAATCTACATTGAATAAAAAAGTTTCTATTTCTAAATACCTACAAGCTTTGTTTATATATTAATTACTGGGTTAAGTATCAGCTATATTTAGCTTTTTACATATCTGAAAATGCAGTTTTGGTACTTGTCAGAATCGAGGGGACAAACTCCTAGAAAACTTTCCTCTATTTCTCATACTTTCAGTTTTCGCCCATAACAAAATCTTTATAACTGTTATTTATCATATTTGATCATGTACAAGTATATGGCAATCAAATATAAATTGTTGTAAAGTACTTCAGACACCATATTTGAATAATCCTTTTAATATAATAATGATATTGTCTAACTTAGCGTGTTTTCTAACAGCTTAATTTTATTTGCAGGTCCAAACACTACTAAAAAAGTAGTGAATCATATAAAAATGACAAAAAAAAGCAAATACTGATTTATATTATATATTTATATCAAAAATTGGTAAAAATAAGAATTTAACTGTCAAAATGCTGAAACAGCGCAGAAGCAATATTTACAGTTGAAGGCAGCCAAAAATTTTATGAAGAGTAGCAACTTTATAGCTAATGTTAACAATTTGCCAAGTGCTGCAGTGTTTTAACTATGTTACAGTTCAGAGAACATAAAAATAAAGAAAAAGAGAGAAGATTTTCTACTGAAGAAAAAATATTAGCTTTGGCAATGCTAAAGCAAAGCTCCAAAGGCTATCACTTTCTATGAAGAATGTTAGTTTTGCCTTCTCCACAAATACTGACAACATTTTTGTACCAGGCCAATATAAAGCCATTAATAAAAAAGCAATATAAAGGTATTAACAACAATATCTTTGCTCAACTTGAAGCAAGAGCGAATAAAATGAAGCCAGTAGACAAACTCTGCATATTAATGTTTGACCAAGTATCGCTAAAAGCCAACATTGGTTACAATGAAAGAAAAGATTTGGTGATAGGTTTTGTCAATAATGGACGCGAGACAACGCCCGAATTTGCCGACCATGCACAAGTTTTTATGATCAGGAGTCGCATAAGGAAATACAAACAACCTGTAGCTTATACATTTGCACAGGCAGCCAATAAAGGCCCAGAGCTAGCTTTGAAAATGAAAACAATAATTGAGAACTTGCAAGAAACTGGCTTCGATGTAGTGGCTACAGTATGTGACCAAGGCATTAATAATAGAAATGCCTTAAATCTTCTCCTAAATGAAACCAGAGGACATATGTTGAGAAGGGGGCAAGAAGTCAGAGAAGACACGAAAGTAATAATAATTATGATCCACCACAATTGTTAATAGGTATACGAAATATTCTTAGAGTAGATTTAGGATATGCAACTGACAATAAAGAAAAGACTGCTAAGTGGGATCACATTAAACAATTACACAAAGAAAATCCTGTATATAAAGGAATCCGATTAGTGCCTAAATTGTCTGACAGTCATGTTGATCCAACGAGAACAAAAATGAAAGTGAAATTTGCCAGCCATATGTTCAGTAGAACTGTGTCTTCCACTATGGAATACATTGGAGGTAAGATCAGGAATGTGATGTTTTTGTGTTAAGTATCAGCTATATTTAGCTTAGCAATATTACGTTGTCTGCAAATTACATGGCTTACTAATATCATAATGATCTATTAATTATATAAAATTATATAATAATTGATAATTTTCTGTATGTATTTTTGCCACCACGGATTTTAAATAATTCAATTCTAATACAAAATTATTCATAATATGTATTAGAATCACCTGACATCAGTTACTCCGTAATTTAAAATGTAAATTGAAACACCATCACATTGTGTACATTCTGTGTATACGAGTATAAATCTTAAAACGTAATCTAATATTGAATAATTATTGTTTTACAGATAAGGGAAACCTCCCAGCGGAATGCAAGAAGACTGCAGGTGTTCTGATTTTCATTGACAATCTGTTTGATTCTATCAATGGCAGCTTCACAAAAAAAAAGGTTTTTAAAACGTCTCCTGGGACCCGTAACACCTAATTCAAAACACCATGAATTTTGGACGGAATCAAAAAAAGGTTTTAATAAAAATCCATGAAATTTATCACAGAAAAATACAATTGTAAGTGTACCTACTATTAATGATTGGGTATGGACACTGGAAGGCATAGAAACATTAGTTAAATATTAGCAACTGATATATATATATATATATATATATATATATATATATATATATATATATATATATATATATATATATATATATTAGATATTGCTCTCTGCAGTTGGATAGGTTTCGAACTATGGTTCTTTACTTGGATAAAGCTTCACAAAAAAAGGTTTTTTAAACGTCTCCTGGGACCCGTAACACCTATTTCAAAACACCATGAATTTTTGGAAATTGATCAATTGCCTGTCTAGTGTCCATGCCCCTGGAGCAAATTATAAAGAAGACCAATGCAATGCACTACAAGCCCTCTTTGTTACAAAGAATAGAGAAGCTGCGACGACTGGTGATATATTTAGATATCGTAAATGAGATTACCCTTACTCTTTTAGAGGAAAAAAACCAGCCCCAAATAATTTGACCCATACAGTATATTTCTTTGAAATAAACGAAAAATAAAATACTTAGGTCCTGCGAAATTTATAACGGTAATCTCTATAGCGAAATTGAAAAAGATTTTTTTAAAAGAAGAGAATTTGCCAATCGTCGTTGTCTTTCCAGCTCTAGCCCAGATTTTTTAACATGCATTTCTAACATGCAAGATATTATAATCATCATCATCATTACAGCCCTTCACAAGTCCACTGCTGAACATAGGCCTCCTCCAAGTAATGCCACAAAGCACGCTCCTGAGCCACCTGCATTCATCGACTTCCTGCATATCTTACCAGGTCGTCACTCCATCTAGTGGGGGGTCGCCCTACACTACGCCTACCGGTACGAGGCTGCCAGACGAGAACCTTTCGTCACCATCGGTTATCGGTTCTTTAAGCTATATGGCCGGCCCATTGCCACTTCAGCTCACTAATCTGTTGGGCTACGTCGGTCACTCTGGTTTTACTGCGGATATCCTCATTCCTGAGTCTATCACGCAGAGAAACTCCGAGCATAGCCCTCTCCATGGCTCGCTGAGCGACCTAGAGCGTCCTCATACGGCCAGCCGTGAAGGACCACGTCTCAGATCCGTAAGTCATCACTGGCAACACGCACTGATTGTACAATGTAGTTTTCAGAGATTGAGGTATACCTGACGAGAAGATGTGTCGTAATTTCCCGAACGCTGCCCAGCCGAGTTGAATCCGTCGATTGACCTCTCGGTCGAAGTTGGACTTACCTAGTCGGACTATTTGTCCCAGGTACACGTCCTCGTCAACAACTTCAAAGCATAGTGCTCTCAACAACTACCGGCATACGTGTGACGTGGACCTTAAACATGATCTTTGTTTTGTCCATGTTCATCTTAAGACGTATCCATTGGGAGACACCATTGAGGTCATTGGGCATAGTGCTTAGGTCCTCCAGCGATTCTGCCATAAGGAATATATCGTCGGCAAATCGAAGGTGAGTGATGAACTCGCCATTGATGTTAACAACGTATCCTTTGCAGCCCAGTAGCTTGAAAATGTCTTCCAATGCAGCGGTGAAGAGTTTCGGGGATATAACGTCATCCTGTCTTACACCTCTCTGCAGTTGGATAGATTTCGAACTCTGGTTCTTTACTCGAATAGCCATCGTAGCCCTACAAACACTTCAGCACTTCGGTATACCGACAGTCAACTTGGCACCGCTGAAGGGACTGTAGCACCGCCCAAATTTCGACGGAATCAAAGGGGTTTTCATAGTGCACATACGCCAGGCAAAGTGGCAGGTTGTACTCTTCGGTCTTCTGTACAATCTGCCGCAGGGCATACCCTGATCAAAATCGGATGATGTGTGAAAGTGTTTAGGACATTTACTAAAGGTTCTGCAGGGAATTTGGTTCCCTTTAGAAAAAAAAAACAGCAGTATTAGTGGTCCAGTTACCTGCTTTAACTGTCAAGGTGTCGGTCACCCAAGTTTCAAGTGTTCTGAGCCGATCGTAAAATGTAGTAATTGTTATTTCATAGGCCATGATACTTCTCCCTATCCAAAACGTGTATGTGGTCTATGGTACTTTACTATGCCTTTTCGGAAACCTTCTTGTTCAGGAGGCTGGAAGTCGTCGAGTCTGCGTGCGAGACGATTCGTAATGACTCTCGAAAATAGCACGAAGACCCGGCTCAGAAGGGAAATCGGTCTGTAGTTCTTCAAGAGAGCGTTGTTGCCTTTCTTAAAGAACAAGACCAGTACATTTATTAAAATGTAATGTATTCATTCATTCTGCAGATACTAGGAACAGACACAAGCTAGTAGTACCAGTTACTCGACTCCACCGAGTCAGTAATTCATTCTTGGGGCGATGTATACGCTTTTACAATGAAATCCCAGAAAATATACAAAATTTGTCACACACAAAGTTCAAAAAATTTTATTAAACTAAGATTGTATAAAAAGAATTATTATAATATTAAGGAGTTATGGATGATAACCCCTGGGAAAGGTGATCGCTACCAAGCTATTTCTAATTTGTCTTGTGTTGTTAATTGTAAACATGATTGTAAGCTATTATTTGAAAAAAAAAAATAGTCCCGCTGGGTTTCTTGCTGGTTCTTCCCAGAACAGAGGTTTTTGTTTTGCGAACCAGTGGTAAATGAAAAAATTGACTTTCAATAAGTATTGTTTGTAATCTACATTGAATAAAAAAGTTTCTATTTCTAAATACCTACAAGCTTTGTTTATATGTTAATTACTGGGTTATATTTACATATCTGAAAATGCAGTTTTGGTACTTGTCAGAATTGAGGGGACAAACTCCTAGAAAACTTTCCTCTATTTCTCATACTTTCAGTTTTCGCCCATAACAAAATCTTTATAACTGTTATTTATCATATTTGATCATGTACAAGTATATGGCAATCAAATATAAATTGTTGTAAAGTACTTCAGACACCATATTTGAATAATCCTTTTAATATAATAATGATATTGTCTAACTTAGCGTGTTTTCTAACAGCTTAATTTTATTTGCAGGTCCAAACACTACTAAAAAAGTAGTGAATCATATAAAAATGACAAAAAAGCAAATACTGATTTATATTATATATTTATATCAAAAATTGGTAAAAATAAGAATTTAACTGTCAAAATGCTGAAACAGCGCAGAAGCAATATTTACAGTTGAAGGCAGCCAAAAAATTTTATGAAGTGTAGCAACTTTATAGCTAATGTTAACAATTTGCCAAGTGCTGCAGTGTCTTGACTATGTTACAGTTCAGAGAACGTAAAAAAGAAAGAAAAAGAGAGAAGATTTTCTACTGAAGAAAAATATTAGCTTTGGCAATGCTAAAGCAAAGCTCCAAAGGCTATCACTTTCTATGAAGAAAGTTAGTTTTGCCTTCTCCACAAATACTGACAACATTTTTGTACCAGGCCAATATAAAGCCTGGTATTAACAACAATGTCTTTGCTCAACTTGAAGCAAGAGCGAATAAAATGAAGCCAGTAGACAAACTCTGCATATTAATGTTTGACCAAGTATCGCTAAAAGCCAACATTGGTTACAATGAAAGAAAAGATTTGGTGATAGGTTTTGTCAATAATGGACGCGAGACAACGCCCGAATTTGCAGACCATGCACAGGTTTTTATGATCAGGGGTCGCATAAGGAAATACAAACAACCTGTTGCTTATACATTTGCACAGACAGCCACTAAAGGCCCAGAGCTGGCTTTGCAAATTAAAACAATAATTGAGAACTTGCAAGAAACTGGCTTCGATGTAGTGGCTACAGTATGTGACCAAGGCATTAATAATAGAAATGCCTTAAATCTTCTAAACGAAACCAGAGGACATATGCTGAGAAGTGGGCAAGAAGTCAGAGAAGACACGAAAGTAATAATAATTATGATCCACCACAATTGTTAATAGGTATACGAAATAATCTTAGAGTAGACAATAAAGAAAAGACTGCTAAGTGGGATCACATTAAACAATTACACAAAGAAAATCCTGTATATAAAGGAATCCGATTAGTGCCTAAATTGTCTGACAGTCATGTTGATCCAACGAGAACAAAAATGAAAGTGAAATTTGCCAGCCATATGTTCAGTAGAACTGTGTCTTCCACTATGGAATACATTGGAGGTAAGATCAGGAATGTGATGTTTCTGTGTTAAGTATCAGCTATATTTAGCTCAGCAATATTACGTTGTCCGCAAATTACATGGCTTACTAATATCATAATGATCTATTTATTATATAAAATTATATAATAATTGATAATTTTCTGTATGTATTTTTGCCACCATGGATTTTAAATAATTCAATTCTAATACAAAATTATTCATATGTATTAGAATCACCTGACATCAGTTACTCAGTAATTTAAAATGTAAATTGAAACACCATCTATGCAAGCGTGTATTCCAAAGCATAGCTACATGTACAATTTCATACATATAAAGTGTATACAGAAATCTTAAAACATAATCTAATATTGAATAATTATTGTTTTACAGATAAGGGAAACCTACCAGCGGAATGCAAGAAGACTGCAGGTGTTCTGGTTTTCATTGACAATCTGATTCTATCAATGGCAGCTTCACAAAAAAAAGGTTTTTAAAACGTCTCCTGGGACCCGTAACACCTAATTCAAAACACCATGAATTTTTGGAAATTGATCAATTGCCTGTCTAGTGTCCATGCCCCTGGAGCAAATTATGAAGAAGACCAATGCAGTGCACTACAAGCCCTCTTTGTTACAAAGAATAGAGAAGCTGCGACGACTGGTGATATATCTTTAGATATCGTAAATGAGATTACCCTTACTCTTTTAGAGGAAAAAAACCAGCCCCAAATAATTTGACCCATACAGTATATTTCTTTAAAATAAACGAAAAATAAAATACTTAGGTCCTGCGAAATTTGTAACGGTAATCTCTATAGCTAAATTGAAAATGATTTTTTTAAAAGAAGAGAATTTGCCAATCGTCGTTGTCTTTCCAGCTCTACCCCAGATTTTTTAACATGCATTTCTAACATGCAAGATATTATAACATCATCATCATCATTACAGCCCTTCACAAGTCCACTGCTGAACATAGGCCTCCTCCAAGTAATGCCACAAAGCACGGTCCTGAGCCACCTGCATCCATCGACTTCCTGCATATCTTACCAGGTCGTCACTCCATCTAGTGGGGGGTCGCCCTACACTACGCCTACCGGTACGAGGCTGCAAGACGAGAACCTTTCTTCACCATCGGTTATCGGTTCTTTGAGCTATATGGCCGGCCCATTGCCACTTCAGCTCACTAATCTGTTGGGCTACGTCGGTCACTCTGGTTTTACTGCAGATATCCTCATTCCTGAGTCTATCACGCAGAGAAACTCCGAGCATAGCCCTCTCCATGGCTCGCTGAGCGACCTAGAGCGTCCTCATACGGCCAGCCGTGAAGGACCACGTCTCAGATCCGTAAGTCATCACTGGCAACACGCACTGATTGTACAATCTAGTTTTCAGAGATTGAGGTATACCTGACGAGAAGATGTGTCGTAATTTCCCGAACGCTGCCCAGCCGAGTTGAATCCGTCGATTGACCTCTCGGTCGAAGTTGGACTTACCTAGTCGGACTAATTGTCCCAGGTACACGTCCTCGTCAACAACTTCAAAGCATAGTGCTCTCAACAACTACCGGCATACGTGTGACGTGGACATTAAACATGATCTTTGTTTTGTCCATATTCATCTTAAGACCTATCCATTGGGAGACACCATTGAGGTCATTGGGCATAGTGCTTAGTTCCTCCAGCGATTCTGCCATAAGGAATATATCGTCGGCAAATCGAAGGTGAGTGATGAACTCGCCATTGATCTTAACACCGTATCCTTTCCAGTCCAGTAGCTTGAAAACGTCTTCCAATGCAGCGGTAAAGAGTTTCGGGGGATATAACGTCATCCTGTCTTACACCTCTCTGCAGTTGGATAGGTTTCGAACTCTGGTTCTGTATTCGGATAGCCATCGTAGCCCTACAAACACTTCAGCACTTCGGTATACCGACAGTCAACTTGGCACCGCTGAAGGGACTGTAGCACCGCCCAAATTTCGACGGAATCAAAGGTTTTTTCATAGTCCACATACGCCAGGCAAAGTGGCAAGTTGTACTCTTCGGTCTTCTGTACAATCTGCCGCAGGGCATACCCTGATCAAAATCGGATGATTTGTGAAAGTGTTTAGGACATTTACTAAAGGTTCTGCAGGGAATTTGGTTCCCTTTAGAAAAAAAAACAGCAGTACTAGTGGTCCAGTTACCTGCTTTAACTGTCAAGGTGTAGGTCACCCAAGTTTCAAGTGTTCTGAGCCGATCGTAAAATGTAGTAATTGTTATTTCATAGGCCATGATACTTCTCCCTATCCAAAACGTGTATGTGGTCTATGGTACTGAAGCCTTTTCGGAAACCTTCTTGTTCAGGAGGCTGGAAGTCGTCGAGTCTGCGTGCGAGACGATTCGTAATGACTCTCGAAAATAGCACGTAGACCCGGCTCAGAAGGGAAATCGGTTCGTAGTTCTTCAAGAGAGCGTTGTAGCCTTTCTTAAAGAACAAGACCACCGCACTTCGGCTCCACGCCTCCGGAGTAGTGCCACCATGTAGGACGGAATTGAAGAGCTTCTGAAGGACAAGTACCTTTGTTCCACCCGCTTTCAGAAGGACTTCAAGTACCGGTGTTTCAGAAGCTCCGCTGTAATTACATCCTTGCCTGGGGCCCTGCCGTTTTTAAGGTGCTGGAGAGCCATTCTAATCTCGGTCAGACTGACGTCCGGGATATCATCGGAATAGTGTCGGATAAGACTTGCTTTTGGATCGTTACTCACACTTGCGTGTGGCTCCAACGATGATGTGTACAGCTGCCCATAGAACCTCTCAATCTCACTCAAAATCTCAGGTGTCCCGGAAACGATGCTGCCACACTCAGTCTTCAGCTTTGACAGTTCAGACAGATCTCTGGCAAAGATTTGGAGCCCTGGTTCCGCTCGATCGCTTCTTCAATACGAGCAGTATTAATGTCGCGTAGGTCTCGCCGCATGCATTTGGAGATCTGTCTGTTCAGTTGTCTGTATGCTGTCAAAATCTGTTGACGATTGCAGCCTCATCTCCCGTCTCACAGCCATGATATTAAGAGTGTGATCGGAGAGTTTTTGTGTTCTTCTGCGGCGGGTCTTGCAGAACTTAGCTCCGACCGCATGGACAGTTTCCACGAGCTTGTCATTCATATCGTCCACTGCATTGCAATCTTCTAGGCACTGAAAGCGGTTACGTAACTCAAGCTGGAAGGTTTCGGGATTCTGAATTAGAGCACGGAGTGTTAACTTCATTATACGAGACCTCTCCAACTTAACGTTTAGGTTCAGTGTGCCTAGTGTGCCTCTAACCTTTCGGTGATCGCTGCCAGTTTTCACCCTTGCGATACTGAGATCACTGAACAGTTGGCGTCTGGTCGTCATAATGAAGTCAATCTCATTTTTTGTCGAACCGTCGGGGCTCGACCAGGTCCACTTTCTGTGGGGCTGCTTCTGGAAGAAAGAGTTCATCATAAAAAGTCCCTCTTTCTCCATGAAGTCGGCCAGCTGCTGGCCCCTTGGGTTCGTTGCCCTATCCCAAATTTCCCTACCTTCAACCCACTGTTCTTTCTTGTGCCCAGTTTTGCATTGAAGTCTCCCATTAACACTGTATAGTGAGTTTTAGAGGAATGCATGGCTCTAGAAATGTCGTCATACGTTTCCTTCACCTCCTCATCGGGATGTTCCGACGTTGACGCGTAAACCTATGACCTTCAGTGAATACCGTTTGGTGACTCTGAGTTTGATGACGTTCTTAACGAGATACTTGTGGACGATAAATCCGACACCACATTGGGACAGATGGTCGCCCTCCCGGTGATAGAACAAGTTACCGGATTCGAGAATCACCGTGTCCTCCCCCTCTCTTCCGACGTCGGATAATCCTATAATATTCCAGCGCAACTTCTGTATCTCTTCTTCCAGCTCCAGGATCTACTCGTCAGTCCTCAGGATGCGTGCATTAAATGTTGCCAGGTCGAGTAGTCGTAGGTGGCAACCGAACCTCCACCGGAGATTCTTAGCACCCCCCTGCCCCGCCGTTACCATGGTCGCTAACATAGCCAGGAATAGCGGGGCCGCTGGGAACTGGGGGCCGTCTATTTGTGTAATTCTTAATGAGGGGTATATTACCGTAGTTGCCACGCTTGGCGAGCGGGTTGGCAACCGCAGTTTTTTTTTGTCCAGTTGTTGTTATCAGGAAGATGCTGCTGCCCATCTCCTGCCTGTCTCCCTCTGTCGCCTCTTACGACAACCACGGGAAGATATGGGGTAGTGGATATTCTTAACCGCCACTACACGGCAGATATAAATAAAATATTAAGTAATAATTTAAATCAAAAATCCCTCAGAGAATACATAAAAAACAATTATTCTTTTACTTTTAGATTTTAATTTCTTAACATGCTCTGTACATAAAGATAAATTAATAGAATATTTAATTAATTAGGTATGGCGATTTTTTATGTTTACATAATGTAAAAATATAAATAAAATATTGTCTGACAAAAAGGATATTGACGGTGACAAGGAGGTAATACAGTGCAAATCAAAAAAGTATTTTAAAAAATGTTTTAAGAGAAACATTTGACATGTTTATTATTTCATTGAGCCAACAGTGCATTATTAAAAGCTTTTGGTAAATCCAAATGTGCATGCCTTAAGCGCTCATATTGTACGTCAATTTTTTAAAGTATTTTAAAACACATACAAGATTTCGCAAATGACCTTATTACTATTGCTTCTAATTTTCCTTTGAACACTTTTAACAGAATTATTTTAAAACGATCAGAAATCAACTTCAATATTACTTTAATATTTAGGTATTTGTACTCAGGCATGAGGGCATTGACAGCTACGTGACGCAGCCGCTTGGAATTGAGTTATAGCGCTGAGGGCCGCTGGTTCGAATCCCGCACGGAACAAGTATTATGCCTTACAAGTAATTTTTCCGGGTCTGAATGTTTGTCCTTGTGAAATTTATGTTTGTAGACTGCCTCCACGATACAGGAGAAAATAATTATAACTAAATAAAACAAAATTAAACAGCCATTTACATTCTGTAGCTTCCCATAAGATAGATTCAAAGATTAAAAAGTAGATTGAGTAATTTTTGTAACTTTTGAAAATATCAATTGCTCAAATTGATATTTTCAAAAGTCACCGTTACTCCGCCATGCAGACTTGATTAATCGACACCATAAGTCACTAAAACAACTTGTTTAATGTAAAAATGCAATTAAACGATTTTAGAAAAAAATATAATAAAGAAAAGTCTGCTAAGTGGGATCACATTAAACACTTACACGAAGAAAATCCTGTATATAAAGGAATCCGATTACTGCCTAAGTTGTCTGATAGTCATGTACTACCAGTTTGCTAATATATATATAATTTAAACATTATGATGATTTTGATGCCTAATAATATTGTTATATCCGCTGATTATACCTTATATGAGTTGAGGAATTAAATTACATTATTCATCTTATAATCCTATCAACAACA